GGGGGGGGTGCGGGGGTAGAAAGAAAGGAAAAAAAGTAGGCACAAATATTAAGAACTAGTCAGTCCTTCTCAGAACTACCTCATACTTTTCCTTTGCATCTTTATTGAGTCAAGATACACATTAATTTTGGAAAAGTCTAAATAGGCATGTGATTTATTTTTTGTTTCCTACGGAAATAATATGATAAGCCTGGAAATGCTTTATATCTGCTATCTGAAATCTGTGGCTTTTCTGTTTTAAGTAAACATCAGGTACTTAGCTAATTAAATATGGTACTCTTAGGGTCTTGTTTATAGGAAAGTGTCAACTTTCAGGATGTTGTGTTTAAGTCTTGATAACATTACGTAGAAAATGACGGCGTGCTCTCTTTTCATAGGCTGACCTTGCAGTCACCACTGCCTGAAAATGGCTCAAAACAAAAAATGATCTAAGGGATGAAACAAGATAAGATCAAATTGATGTCATGGTGATTACACCAAATACCATTCAATCTTGGATGGAATTTACTGTTGATCCCCAGGCTTATATGCAGGTGGGAACATGTAGTTTTTATTACTCGACTGGTATAAAAGATAGGTGAGGACTTTATGAATTATAGTTACTGAGAATCACAAGAAACTAGAATCCCTCTTCAGATTCACGATCAACTGCCCTGAACACATCCTGCAAAAAGTCCAGAGGAAGGTAATATGAATGAAACAATTTTTGGGATTTTAATAAAGGAGTGACACATTTGAGCATATAGGAGTGCTTTCAGAGTCTATGCATAAATCTTAGTAAGACGAGAGAGGAGGTGTTGGCTCGTTTTCTTTTCAGCACCCATGATTAAGTTGGGAGGAATTCTGAAATACTGTGGTCTGTGATCACAGGCTAAGATATTATCTAACAGAAGGCAGAAACCAGACTTCTGCTGAGATGCTTGAATGCTTGTCAGGATTTAAAAAATTTCCTCAAGAATTGTTGGATGTCATTTGAAAGGCATTCTTTTGAGTGGCTTTCAGGGGTCAGGCGCAGGGGGTAGACATTAAGTAAGTTGTTGATAATTTTTATTATCAGTTTTTAAACGATGCATAACTATATCTTCCGGCTGTCCATTGATAGATCAGCTCATCTGTTCAGCCAAATGACAGTAACTTCTGATATCTTTTGAAGAGATGTTCTCAGGTAGACTTGAATAGGCATACTGGAATTTCCTAAACAACATTGTTTCCATTTTCTTCTTTCATAGAATGCTACAAAAATCAGAGTCAGTATTCTTTCTCTAGGTATTACTAATGACCTTTCAATCAAAAATCACTTGCCCAAGTCTGATTGGTTTGTTCCAATGGAAATCTCTGGAAATTTTGATGACCTTAGAAGGAGCCCTGGTGGCGCAAACAGTTAAGAGCTTCGCTGCTAATCAAATGGTTGTCGGTTTAAACCCACCCAGTGGCTCTGTGGGACAAAGACCTAGAGATCTGCTGCCATAAAGGTTACAGCCAAGAGAATCCCATGGGGGCAGTTCTGCTCTGTCACATGGGGTGGCTATGAGTCGAGAGCGACTTGACGGCACCTAACAACAACAGTTACAATTTAAATCGGTGCTAGTTGAAACGGCAGATGGTTGGGAAATTGAGACTAGAAAATAAAAGTACTCGTTTTGTTCCCCCTTATGAGTGTTGAGGAACAGGATTTGGGCACATGGCAAAAACCATGCGCTGCTAGTTGGTGGATCCCCTGAGAACGCAGAAGTTCCGTTTCACCCCCATAGGAACTTCTGTTTTCTAAGTGCAACAATCCTTTCTCCCCTCAAAAGTAAAATATTTTGCTTTAGAAGAGAGAAATCTTCCTAAGTTTCTGAAGAAGTCTTTTAAATAATTACTTGGCTTAACACCAATTCAATTATTCACAATTTTAGCTGTCCAAATGACATTGCAATACTTTGTTATAGTCTTGAATTTTTTTTTTTTAAGAGAATTATCAGTCACCGTTTATGAAAGTCTTATGTGTTTTCAGGGCAACTTTAACTATGGTTTTCTTAAATTTCTTTTACTTATTTCTTGCAGTAATTGAGTCAGTGAAATTTTAAGTGAGTTGTATTTATTTTTCCCGCGAAAGGGTGGCGTGTGAAAAATATTAGAAAAGCAATTGATTATGTTCCAGAACAGAGTCTCTGTTTCATTGTATAGTTCTTTTAAATGTGGGATTCAAATTTACATGAAAACTCAGAGTAAGAGCTGGAAAATAGAAGGAGCAAAATTAGAAGGTAAAGTGCATCTTGTTTAAAAGCAGATCAAGGCAATTTACTGTCACAGAGAGAAAACGTACAGGAATCGACTAGTATTTCCATAGCACCAAACTTTCTTTTTTGTGGACTGTGAATCCTAAAGTAGTTTGCAGTCACCTTATGACGCTTGCAAATTCTGGTTTTGGTGCAACATTTCAGCAGTACTCATAGTAATGTTGCACAAAGTAACCCAGTAATTCTTTGGTTCATCAGACTCAGAGATAAAGTTACAGAAATGCTCCAGGATCCTTGGTATGTTGGGGACTAAGAGAGAGAGGGCTGAGGCTAGACAAGCGGTGTAATCAAGGGCAAAATTCAGAACTGAACTGGGAAAGATAACAGTAACAGCATGATCTATGTGTGAATTAAAGTCATAAAGGAGGAAATGGGTTGACTGTGTGTTTCTGAGCTATGGGGGTAGTGCAGGTGGAAGGGCTCGTTTTAGGGTGAGATCATGGTCTTGGTGACTTTGGCAAATCCTTTTAATTCTCTGAACATGCAGTTTTCTCATCCATGAAGTAATACTTTCCTCATAGAAGTATAAAGAAAACCAAACAAGGGAATGTTATGTGAAAGCTAATGCTTCTCCCCCTCCAGCCACCCACTACCAATCAGATACTGGACCTTACAACTTGATCAATTATAAAATGCCTGTGCTATCTCTCTTTATCCAAATGAAACGGCCTTCTTAAATCTGATCCTAAGAAGGTAACATCAAATAAATGGGTAAAATAAAAAATTAGATGGGCAAGTTACATTGAAGCTTGTGCATGATAATGTTGCTCTCAAAAAAAGATATCAGCATCTTACTTAGGGGCATGTCATCTGAAAAAATTATTTAAGAAACTGATTGGAAAATATAAAGAATTGAAGGCGGTATAGTGGACTGTGGTTCAGAGCTTGGATTTTGGAATTATAAAGAGATGTTTTTCAATCTTGGCTCTGCCAGTGACTAACTTGTTACGTTACCTCCAGAATTTATTCATCTGTAAAAAGGAGAATAATACCTCGCAGGGCTATCATTAGCATTTAATGTATTTGTGTATTCAAGGTGCCCAGAAGAATATCTAGCACATTCAAGTGCCCAATTAATGGTAGGTGTCTCTTCTAAAATATATTATTACCAAATCTATTATTATAGATAACTGTGTAAAATGCCTACTCCAAAATGTTTTTACACTTTGTTGCATTTGCCCTAATAGATTAACTGAATGTATGTTATATAAATAACCCATTGCAGAGGAAAGTACAGGGAGAAAGTAGAGAGGCAAGATTATAGTTCTATATCTAAGACTTTTGAGAAGAAATTCTTGTTAAAAGAGACAGCAGTTGTTCTAGTTATCTATTGCTGCGCACCAAACTACCTGAAAAATAAACGAATAAACAACAAGTCATTATTATCTATCAAGGCTCTGTAGGTAGATTGGGCTCAGCAAGGTAATTAATTTGGGTCTCCCATGCAGTTGCCATCAGATAGTGGCTAGGGCTGGAGTTATCTGAAGGCAAGACGGGGCTGGTCATTCAGGATGGCTTCTTCACTCACGTCTCATTACTTCTTGGGCTATTTCTCGCTCTTCACGTGGCATCTCATCCTCCAGGGCCTCTGCATGTGGCTTAACCTTCTCATCCTTTGATGGTCTCAGGGTAGGTGCACTTCTTTCTTACACGGCAGCTGGCTTCCAAAAGACAAGAAGCAGAAACTGCCAGGGATATGTTCAGAACTGACCCAGTGTGACTTCTGCCCTATTCTATTTGTTTAAGAGGTCGTAGGGCCTGCCTAGATCTAATGGGATACAAAGGTAGACAATATCTTTTGATGTGGGAGTGGCAAGGTCACATTGCAGAAGAGCTTGTGGGCTGAGAGCTATTATTGTGGCCATTTTGGGAAAATACAACCTGTCAGAGCAGTAAAGACTCAGGGTTGATGAACAACAAACGGGGCTCTCTTTGAGGCTCCTCTGCTCTGTTTTTACCATAGAAAAAAGTACCTTATAAATTAAGGTACCAGGATTGATAAATCTATAATCCTGGGCTATCTATTCTATTATTGAAAGACTTTAAGCAAATGAATTTTTTTGTGTGTGCTTTACTACCTTTATTTGTGTTTGTTTAGTATTTATTTCTCCTATTCAAACTGAGAGCTCTGGTGGCACAGTGGTTAAGAGCTATAGCTGCTAACCGAAAGGTTGGCAGTTTGAATCCACCAGCTGCTCCTTGGAAACCCTTTGGGGGCAGTTCTACTCTGTCCTATAGGATTGCTATGAGTCAGAACTGACTGGATGGCAACAAGTTTGTGTCTTTACTACTTTTAAGTGAGAAAAATGATACTTGGTGTGTCAGAAGGTTGCATGAAAAAGATCTCAAATAAACATAACAAAAGATAATGTACAAATTGAAAAAGTTACAAGAAAGATTCTTATATTGTTATAATAGTGTTCTGCATAAACTTTTCTGGCCTTTGGAACTTTAACTTTTCTGTGTGATAAATCGACACTATGCAATGTTTTATTTCTGATAGTATTTATTTAAAAAATAATGTAGATTTAAAAAAATTGGTGTATTTAAAAATAACAAACATTTGAAATTCTCATTTAAAACAATATTTTATGGTGCATAGAGTTTTCACATAAATATGTCTCATTGATTTTTTGCAATATAGATTTAGTATGCAGAAAATTTTAAAAATGCTGATGTGCTAGGAACATCACAAGGGTAATAGAAGAATCAAGATTTTAATTACATAATTATGTTAGCATTGTAAAGCATCTTTGAACAACAATTAAAATGGAAACTGTACATCTTATTATAAGTCCCTTAATTTAGTCAATTAAGAAAAGAAAATACTCAAAATATGATTGTTACAAGAATGCTCAAAAAGGAATTGAAATCATTTTTATATGCTATGTGCATTATAGCAACTTTCTTCTAGATACTGACGGCTCGTCTTTCTTTTTAAAAGAAATAGTCTTAAAGTTCATCCTTTGTTCTATTCTTCTTTGTGGAAACCTCTGTTTTCATAGTGCTTTATAAGCTATGCTGTATATTTCTTTTGTCTACGGGCCCCTGTTTTCATTTCTTTTCTATTTCATCTGGAAAACCAGTTGACACTCTTAATTTTGTGGAGGCAAAAATCATTGTTCAGTGATTGGTAAACAGAAACTGCATCCCAAATACTGCTGCTGAATTAGGTGACTTCATTTGACCTTATTTTCCTTAGAATATAGGGGTACCTGGGGGATACTCTATTTGCCACCTCTACCTGCTGGGGAAATCGTGAGGACTACTGAACGAATATCAAAACAACAAAATATACATTTAGTACTATTGTGTTTCTTTTTCCATTAAGTAAGTTCTTTATTCTCATTAGTTTTTCATCTATCCTTTTTCACGCCTGCAGCCTACCAAATGTCTCAATGCC